CTTGAGAACAGTGGAGTGCTCCTTCCAGTATGGTTATAGTTCAATGGTTCGGCCTTTGCTTTAGTTGACATTACCGACATCGAGGAAGTTCGGCCTCAGCTTTAGCATCCCCTTAAGGATAATAAATTAAGATATGAAGTGGGAAACAATAGCTAAAACTTTAAATTGTACAGGTAGGTTATAATTTTTATATTGTCATATAAATAAAACTGTAGTACATCTGTACCAATATTTTTATATTCTAGTCAATGAAGCGAGAAAACGCTGGGAATCATTGCGAGGTCAGTTCTGTAGAAAACGTCGTCAGCAGAAAAACCAACCATCAGGTTCTGGAACATTGGCAGAATGGCCCTTGATGTCCCTTCTGTCATTTTTTAGACCTCATTCAAAATAGGAAGTAAATATTCAGATTCTTTTTTTTTAAACAATATATAATATGAGTAGTTAAGTAGTAAATTATAGACTTATATAGATAAACCGGCCTCTGCCGTAAGAAGCAGCGTGACAACATATACGATGCAGATGTAGTCTTTCTAGATGCTTTCTGATAGATCTTTATCTTTCATCTAGCGTTCAGAAAAAGGCAGATCTGCCAGAAAACATCTAGAAAGGCTATGTCTATACCATATATGTAGCAGGGGCCAGTCTATCTACATAAATCTGTGTAATAAATACTCTAGTTGATACAGAGCATAAGTTACATTACATCTATATTATAATTTTGCACTCAATAAATATAAACTGAAGCTGTATACAAAGTCAATTCCAATGACGTACATACTTAGACCAAACATTTGTGTACTTCTGCTGTAGCGAATAAAGCCAGAAGTTGCAAGTGAGATAGTTTATTCACCCCTAGTGCTTTTTTACTTTTTATTGAGTTTTAGGAAGGCCATATTTTTTCAGTACGATAGAGTAAGAAAGCATAAAGGGGTAAATCAACTATCACACTTGCAACTTCCGGTTTCAATCAACGAACGGAATGCTTGGACCATATATATGCGTTATTGGTCAATGCGAAATATAAAGATGAGAAGTTTCATGATTTACCAGAATTATATTTCTTGTTTTACCTGTTTACATTTAGTTCAATGTATTAATAAGTTAATATTAAGTTAATAAGTTAAATATAAAAAATAGATACGTAATAGGATTTATGATAAATTTCTTTACATATGCAGAGCAAGAAGTTCCTCACTTTTGCAGAGGTCAACCTTAAGATGTAATGAAATCTCTAGTAGCTGCTCACCTGCCATAAACTCACCTGTCTGACCTGTCTCATCATCTAGCGCAAACCGTGTGATACAGTCACAAAATACTACTGAAAATTCCGATTCCGAATATTTGCGTGGAATGATCATGAATCACAGAGCATTGGTATAGTACTATTTTATCTTTTTTTCTTAATGTTAGCTTTGCATATGTACATCGATCCTTTGATATAATAATATATACTTTTCTTTGCAGAAAATATAGAAAACAAAGAAAACACAGAAAATGCAGAAAACATTCCTACAGAGTATGTATTATGTGAAGTTCCTACCAAAGAAACAGGGAATGTTGCAAGTATTCCACAGACTACAAAAACACCAAAAAAGCGAAATTTGGTACCTCCTCTTGATAAAGCGCAAAATAAAAAAGCCTGTAATAAACGCCTCGAAGCACTTCTTACAAAATCGTCAAAAGCTGTTAGTGATTTAACAGTAGCATGCAATAGTGCAACAGTCGAGGAGAAAAAACCAGTTGTTGGTCCAAATGCATAAATTGCGCAAGCTTTAAAATCAGTGGCGCCCGAGAACCAATTATCTTGCTTGATAGCTGTATTACAACTAATTAACTCATTTAACCAATAAATGTCCAATGTTTTTTTATTAATGATAAACATATTTTTTTATGAAGTGAGAATATCTATATATATAAAAATGAATGTATGTATGTATGTCTTTTATATACTCTTGAATTATTATATATTATTTGACCGAATTTTTACCAAAAGTATATAAAATAGGGGTAGAATTTTCCGGGGAGTGTTATAGAGTGTATAGTTTTTTGTTACCGATCTTTTTGGAAATCGGTATCCGAAAGTAGTGTTGACTGTGAAATTTAATAACGTCAAAGGTGGCACTAAATAAGTTTTTATAAATAATTAATTGCTCGCGACAGTCACGAATTGAAGTGACTGATTTATCAGTTTTGATATATAATATGTGAAAGCATCAACTTCATAACATAACACAGACAAATGATACAGACACTACGCGGCGCATCATCGTATATTTTCGCATTATTAAGATTCAACATCGACCTTTATATCTAGGGCAGTGACATCATCCTTTGGTTTACCCTTGAAACTTGGTGACATTTATGAGTATATGTTCGGCTCAGAATATCGAGCTCAGAAGTTCGAGCCGAACATATACTCATAAATGTCACCAAGTTTCAAGCTAATCGGCTTCTCACATTCTATATAGATAAGTTGATGATTTCACTCAGTATATGTCAGTTGTTAGTAGGTGTCAAAAGAAATATATGGAAAAAGAAATATATGGAAATGGAAAGTAATCTTAAAAAAATGGTAAAAAAATTAAATTATAAAAATCTATATATCTATAAATGAATGTATGTATGTATGTCTTTTATGTTTTTTTGCTGCATTTTATCGTGAGTTCATTTTATTTCAATTATCATAATATTGAATTAAATAAGTTCTCATTAAATACATTTACACATATTTTTTTATACTGAATTTTTTCATTTTTTTCCGAAAATTGGGGACAATTATTATCGACGAGATCATCAAGAGTGATAGTTCAATTTGTCATCGTTTAAATCATCGTTCTCACTAAATACATTCACACATATTTTTTGGCTGCATTTCATCGTAGTTGATTTTATTTCAATTATCATAATATCAAATACTGAATTTTTTAATTTTTCTCAGAAAATTTGCGAATATCGTTGATAATTATGCCTCCCAAACGTCAATCGATTGATCGATCTACATCTCAGGCACGAAAGAAAAAAGCATTATGAGTTTCAGAAACAGACGAGCAACGGGAGGCAAGATTAGAAGCGCTTCGAGTACGAAATGTTTCGACTCGTTTGTGTCACCTGATACCAATGTTAATAATGGGTCGGGTGGTAAATGCAATTCTGGCAATTTCACTTTTTCACCTGCGCAGCACATTCCTGGATTTTCATTCTTAAATTTCAATGCACGGCAAAATTCGCATAACTTATCCATTTTTCCAAAAAAGATACTTCGATGGAGACTATAATCATAATCAGCATCGTAATTAAACGCAGCAAGATTCAAATCAGCATGCAGTGTCCCTCTGAATCGAACATTGCGTTCTCGATTAGTTGCCAGTCTTGATTCTCGTTGCTTTCCTGTTTCATTCGAGCGGGCTTCAGCATTTCGTAGTCGAAGAGCTTCCAGTCTTGATTCTCGTTGCTCTCCTGTTTCATTCGATATTGATTGGCCACACTCTAATCTCGGGCGAAGCCGAGACGGGGCATGCTAGTAGTTTATATTTTTTTTACAAATAAGATGTGATTTAGTGAAGTAAGATGATGTGATAGTACAAACTTTTTTATATGAAAAACATGTATAATTTAAATTTTTAAAAATTGTAATGTGTTATTGGTAATTTTTTAAGATTATTATATTATTACGCATAACTAATACTATATTACTGTGTTACTGATAGTATAAAGAATAACATGTTACTACAGTTAAGTTACTAAAAGAAAGTAATGTTACAGCGGCATATTTTTTTTCTGTGAAATATTGTTTATATAAAGTTCATATGTAGTAATGTTTTCTAAATATATAAAATAAAAGCAAATTTGAATTAAGATACTTGTTTTATCTATTTATTATTAAAGTAATTTTTACAAATGCACTAGTTTGGAAAGACATTTTTATTATTCAATAAAAGATCATAAAATATGTATGTGTGTATGTATATATATTACTAATCGTAAGGAGAAAAGTGAACATTATAACCACGAAGAATAATTTGAAATTGCCAGGGTACTTGTCCTTCATCTGTAAGCATCCACTCAGCCAATGTTGTTCTTTGAGTCATAGCCATTCTTGTAGCATTATTGCTGCCTAAGCGACCAAAATCGCACAAATTCGGACATGCTGGAGCATCCCGCCATGTTCCTGGCGTTAGTATTCCATCTGAGTCGCTTTCATTATTAATATAAGTTGTGAGACAATACAACCTCCTTTCAACCTCGCGATCCTCTCTCATCATCATAAAATTGTGGAGACATATTGTAGCTAAGACTATTTTTTCTACATTTTCTACTTTTATTCTGATGCATGTATGAAGAACTCTCCATCTGTTAATTACATATGTTTACAGTAATTCATTACTTTATTAATAAAAATATATTTCGCTGTTAAATGGACATGACACTTACCTCGAGGAAAGAATGCCAAAAGCATTTTTGATTATCCTTCGAGCACGAGATAGTCTATAGTTAAATATTCTCTCTGTATCACTTTTAATGCCTTTCTTTGAATAAGGACGCATTAAATCTGGTCTCAAAGGAAATGCCTCATCTCCCACAAAGAAATGACGTATCTTATTATTTGTACCTGGTAATTTCTTAGGTAAAGGGAGATTTAAAGATTTTGTTTCCAACGCTGTCCCTAGCCTTGAATTTCCAAAAATACTGCTGTCTGGGAGCGAGCCTGAAATAGATACAAGTTTTACAAAAAATAAATACAACTTATTCAAAACAATGCCATAAATTTTCAGATCTATAGTCTTACCATAGTCCCCAACTTCCACCCACGTGAAGCAATAATTGGCATCACAACATGCCATCAACACCAAACTGAAATATTTCTTGTAGTTGAAATATTCTGAACCACTATGAGGAGAACATTGCACACGGATATGTTTTCCATCCAGGGCACCGACACAATTAGGCAAATTCCAACGATTGTAGAAATGCTCAACTATTTCACTCCACTTTTTTACGGTAGGTGCTTTGAGGAACAACGGAGACAGAGCTTGCCAAATACTTTCACAGGTTTCCGGAATGACTTTATATATGGTAGAAGCACCAATCCTATAGTACTTAGATAAATACTTGAGGCTGTCACCAGACGCTAGGTAACTGTCGAGACAAGAGATGATATCTCTCATGCTTTTCTTTTGAAGCAAAGGGCCAATCAAAGAAAACAGATAATCAAACTGTCTTATATTCATTCTTGTATATTCGAAAAACTGTTCTTTATCCGTAAAATATAACTCTCTGAACAAATTATTATATACTCCTTGCTGTACTCTTCGTTGATTAATTTTCCTCACCCACCATCTCCTCCACCGGTAATTATGCAGTTTAGGGGAAGCACCTCCGATGACCTTGACCTT